GAAATTTATGTCATTAGAATATCTAAACTATATTTTTAGAATACTTTGATGTTATATTCTGGAAGAGCATTAAATGTTTCTAGGATTTCTCACTAACTAATGCCATTTGTAGCTGTTTGAGGTCCTGCTTTTGTTGTTCAATAAGGTGATACCATATTTCAAAGAGTTCTAAAAACAGGATAGTTTCTTTGTAATTGCAGTCTTCCCTAATCAATTTATAGATATTTACATGATAAGTGGGTGAGATTAGGGAAGTGAAAGTTGTAATTATGGGGGGAAAAAGAATTTGAATGTTTTTTAAAAGTCACAAGTTTCTCAATTCAGAAACTTTAAATTCCTATTTTTTCAAATATCTTCATGGATTGAACAAGTAGCTTTGACTGTTTTTCAGAACAAAAACTCCTGACACCAGAAGCCACTTTTATTATTCAATCTTATAAAATATTCATGATCTTTAATTTCATGCTGAGAAAAATTGACCTGAAATATCACCACACATCCTTTAACTAAGAATTGCAAATCATTTTTACCCCATAACATCAAATAATATGGATTAGGCAAATAGCGTTTTGTAGAACTTGCGTTGTTTTTTTTTTTCCAAAATAGAAAAAAACTCATTAGAAAAAACTTTTGCTTCTCTTGTACACAAATACATCGTGAAGGCCCTGAGCTATTGGCCTTGAATCATTTCAGAAACATTGATAAAGAAGGTGCCCTGAGCCTAGGGCTAGTCAGCATTATATATACTCTCTTTTAAGGTGGTGAAGAGATTTTCTACAGGGAAAAACCCAGAAGCCTCTAAAAATGAATTATTCAACTATCAAAGTCTCTCAGCTGAAATCTTTGGTAATTGTGTGTAGTAGCATTTTTGTCAGCTTTGTGGCAATTTTTCATCTAACAGTAATAAATGAATTTCTAGCAGATTAATGTGGTCCTGAAATGTATTTAAGAAAACCAAATGTGTTCAGGCTGTGAAGAAAGGATTTTTTTTTTTTAAGCTACTGGTGAATGAGAAGGAATTTATTTCATGCTCCATGGAGTTTGGCCTTATAAAGTCTTTAGCTACCAGTTAAATACAGGGATAGAAAAATGATTCCATTGTGTGCTCTGAATGGGGGGAAAAGACAAATTAGTATTCCAGTAATACTACTAGTAACTAAAGTAAATAATGTCTCTCAACAAAAATGTGTCATCTAATTTATTAAGTGACAGCTAAGTAATGGTAAAACTTGTCACGTGTGTCCTGCAACAGCCCTCCTTCTGCCTTTGATTTTTACATGTAAAATCAAACTTTTGTTCTTGGTAGGTTCTTGATCCCAGCGCCCTTTCTCACCCTTTGATTTCCCATCCTTCCTCCTAGTTGAAGCTCACATAGTTTCCCTTTAATTGAAATATTTTGGTTGTCTTTGAAATGATTCAGCAACCTGGGGGACTTTTTAAAAGAATTCTTTTTAAAACATGTTTTCTCCAGTACATATTTCTAACTTTCTTTCATCTTCTAGCAGATGTGATCATATGCAACCAGGAATAATAATAACTATGAAGAGTAAATGTACTATATATAAGGAATAATAATTTTAGTAAATAGTTTTTATTCAAATACTAGTATATCTGAGAAGAAAGATTTATTTAATTCTAGGGAAAGATAACCAGGGTATATTTTTGAAATTAATTATTTAAAGTTATTTTTTTACACAGCCATGCTGACAAAGGAATTTATCTTTTATTTTTAATTTAAAAAAAGCATACTTAGAATACTAGCAAGGTAAGGAAATATGAAAGTTCTTTACAGCCTTTCTAGGGCAAGAACTACCTGATACTGATTAGTACAACTGAAATACTATTTTTATGTCCACATTTGGCCTTCCTTTTCTCAGGGATTCAGAGCATAGACTCCTGAGAACAGCGAGCAGGGTGCCCTCAAGACTGCCCCACCCCTTTCACCCCCACTCCTCCCAATAACTCAAGGTCTCCTGGATAGGAGGAAGCCCTGGGCAGAAAGTGGGGAGTTCTCTTGATGTGGAACAACTGGAGGAGAGAATAAAGAACAGTGGGAGCATTTGTTAAGTTATCTGGTGAAGTGTTTGTTGATAGAAAAATGCATTGTTAAATCAGTACCGGTGACCTTGGCTTCTCTTCCTTGCTTGACTAGCCTGTGGAAGGGAATGGAGAGAGTTGATTGTACTGCAAATCTAAATGCATACATGTGCTTCAGAGCCAGGAAAACATCACTTAGGTATTAGGATAAAAAAGACACCACAGTTTAAAACCATATTGTATTTGCAATTGTTAACTCATAAGATACATTCGAACCAGATAACTAGAATGTTATGGTCATAAACGATGGAGAAAATTAATATTTATCTCAGTATCAAACAATAAATATCAGCTCCTTCTGCCATTTAAGTATCACTCCCAAGAATTACATGTCACTTCAAGAAGTAGATCATTCCATAAAGTGTAAGTGTCTAAGTGGTTGATAAAAATAATAATTTGGGCCCAGCTGGAGTGGCTCAGTTGGTTGAGCATTGTCCTGTGCACTGAAAGGTTGCCTGTTCAATTCCCAGTCAGGGCACATACTCAGGTTGTGGTTCGATCCCCAGTCACATATAAAAGGCAACTGATCGATGTTTCTCTCTCTTTTTCTCTTTCTCTCTCTTTTTCTCTCTCTCTTTCTCCTCCCCGCTCCCTCCCTCTAGGCATGTCCTTAGGTGAGGATTAATAAGCATAACTAATGGACACAAGACACTGGGGGGTAGGGGAGGCCGGGGGAAGGTCAAGGGGGTGGGGGGGGAAAAAAGGGAGACATATGTAATACTCTTTGTAATACTTTAAGTAATAAAACAAAATTTTAAAAAATAATACTAATTTGGGGAACTACATAATTAAAGATAAAGATTCATCTGTTTCCTCATAAAGGCTTTTTGATTAAAAAATAAATCCTTTTAAAGGAATATGATAAAAATGAAAAACTTTAAGTTAAAAATGAAAATATAATATAACATATTAAAGATAGTATATGATGTGTCTGTGTTATGCTCCAAAATTAATAATTAATGCTCTAACATACAAATATCCAATTACTATTTTCTATTGAGAAGCTAAGGGACTGTTGAATAGGGTCATTCTGCTGTGATAGAACTACTAATAGGTAGCTCTGTTTTATATGGAAAGTCTTTGAAAGACTATCTAATAAGTTACTTTTTAGCCAGTCAGAGAAAGATAAATATCACATGACTTCACTCATTTGTGAAATATAATGAACAACATACACCAATGAACAAAAATAGAACCAGAGACATAGAAGCATCGAACAGACTGTTCAAACTATGAGGGAAGGTGGGGCTGGTGGGGGTTAAGAGATCAACCAAAGGACTTGTATGCATGCATATGAGCATAACCGATGGACACAGACAGGGGGGTGACGTCATGTGCTGGGGGGTGGCAGCGGCTGGGGAATGGTCAATGAGGGAAAAAGGAGACTCATGTATTACTTTAAACAATAAAGAATTTAAATTAAAAATATAAAAAGATAAAAAAATAAAGATGGGCCACTTTAAAAAAAAGTTACTTTTTTTAGGTAGGTGGCAAGTCTTTAAATTTAGGAACTCTTACAAAAATAATCATTTTTATTTTATAAATTAAATCATTAAAATATTTATAATAAAGATTATTGACAAGATTAAGCATTACCTAAAAAAAAAAAAGTCGAAGACATGAATTCCTTCTATATTACTAACGTTAGATTGTGCTTTTAAAAAATTTCACTGGAAAGGAAATATTTCAGAAATAACACTGACTCTATATTCTTTATAAAGAAAGGATTATCTTCTGTGATCTTTGAAGATCAACTTCTAGTAAATTAGAAAAACCCCACTTAGCTAAGACCCCGCCTTTCAATACTCTCTCTCCATTCACGATGCCCTTTCATGTAGAAGCCTCTTCAACATCCTGTACATGTGCTTTCTGGGTCTTCATAGAATCTCACTGCTATTATCCTCTCATCCCAAGATAAAGTCAAATCTCTAAAGAACCTAATGGAGGTATTTTCCTCACAGTCATCGAAAAATTGTTTTCTGAATAATTTGGACCAGCTGCTTAAAGATAAAATTCACTGTAGACAAAAGAACTGTATTAAGGCAAAGATTACTACTGAATTGAAGAGAATTTGGGAAAAAATAGATCTTTGTGCTCTCAAGTTTTACTCACCAAAGAAAACAGGCCAGAAAGGAGGAGGAGAGAGAAAAGTATCCTGGGTAATGATAGGAGAGACCTTGTAAATGCCAGCAGAGGCGACTGGAACAACATGGGTAGGAAATGGATGCCCTTCTTTTAAGTGAAAGGTGTTTGAATCTCATTGGCATATATGTGCACTGGATCATTTGAAACTTCTTAAAATCTATTTTCCCAACATTTCATGAAAAATTTGCATCAGAAAAGCAGAAAGAACTGTACAGTGAACATCTATCTTCCCACTGAGAGTCTACAATGAGCATTTTACTCCACTTTGTTACCTGTCTGTCCCTGTAGCCATCTCTGCCTACCCATCAATCCAGCTTATTTTTCAGTGCATTTCAAAGTGAGTACACTTTACTCCTAAACTGTTCAGCATTTACACCAACATTTTTTATGATTTTTTAAAATTGAGGTAAAATTTACGTAGAGTGGGACATACCAATCAACTCAAATCTCATGCATTCTATGGTTTTTCACAACAGCATCGTATGATTTTATTACCTCAGAAAGTTTCCTTGTGTCCCTTCATAGTAAATCCCCACCCTCTGCCATTGCTGGTCAGAGTTTCTTCTCGTAGATGAGTTTGTCTTGTCCTAGAATTTCATATAAATGAAACCACTATATAACTGCTTTTGTGTAAGACTTCCGTCACTCAGCACATAGATTTCCAATCTCTTTCTGATTCACCTGAAAAGTGAGATGAAGTAATCCTACCCTTTTCTATTTCAAGTGGCTGAAGTGATTTGGTGAATTTTCACTTTCAGGCCTGTTTCCTGCCATTCTCAATCTTGCCAGCAATGCTCACATCATCACCAATGCCACCTGTGGTGAGAAGGGGCCTGAGATGTTCTGCAAACTCGTGGAGCACGTGCCCGGTCGACCTGTGCGGAACCCCCAGTGCCGGATCTGCGATGGCAACAGTGCCAACCCCAAAGGCAAGTGTTGCTCCTTCTACTTGGAAGTACCCGTGGGAATCTATATGTTTTGAAATGATTGTGAAGCCTTTTATTAGGAAACCGTGAGAACTGTGTTGACCTTCACTGCTATTCATTTCCATTAGCATACAGTTTAGAAGTTAAAAATTTTAAACCCAAAGCTGAGAGGTATGCATATTTTTATTCCTTTTATATTTTTATTTTTTATAATTTTGTTTAATTACAGTTGATATGAAATATTATATTAGTTTCAGCCACTATAGAAAGTAGTATGGAGGTTCCTAAAAAAATTATAAATAGAATTACCATATGACCCAGAAGTTCCACTTTTGTGTATTTATCCAAAGAAACCCCGAACACTAATTTAAAAAGGCATATGTATTCCTACGTTCATTGCAGCATTAATTGCAATAGTTAAGACTTAGAAGCAACCTAAGTGCCCATCGATAGATAAATGGGTAAAGATGATGTGATATATATATACAATGGAATATTACTCAGCCATAAAAAGAATGAAATCAAACTATTTGTGACAACATGGATGGATCTAGAGGGTATTATGTTTCTATTTTCTTTTAACAGAACGCCATCCAATATCAAATGCGATAGATGGCACCAATAACTGGTGGCAAAGTCCCAGTATTCAAAATGGGAGAGAATATCACTGGGTCACAATCACTTTGGACTTAAGACAGGTAGGTAAGGCGAGAACTGTTGAAGAATGTCTATGGGTTGCTGACCTTTGGGAAAGTCTGCCTTATTTCTAACCATGTTTATGTTCTGTTCTCACTGTTTTTCTGCAAGGTGAAGTTAAGTGATATACAAAAGTAGTCCATGGTACCATTGCTTGTCACATTTTTCATTCCCAGGAATCTTTGAGAAAATGAGTGAAATTTTTTTCAGTGGGGTTTGATGTTCTTAGATACTAAGTCAGCAGGGCCTATGTCAGACTGTGTACTAGATGACGACAGACACATCCATGTATTTTCTGCCTTTCAAGCTTATTATCTTGCTACTAGAAGCCTGGTGCATGAATTCATGCACAGTTGGGGTCCCTCTGCCTGGCCGGCAATTGGGCCTGATCGGGGCTGTCTTGCCTAGTCCATATTGGGGTGATCGAGGTTGGCTGGCTGGGGGGTGGGGGAGACTGCAGGAGGTTGGCCGGTCAGGGGGAGGGACTGTGGGACATTGGCCGACCGTGGGAGGTTGGCAGTGGGAGCGCACTGACCATGAGGAGGCAGCTCCTGCGTTCAGTCCTTTGGTCGTTTAGGCTTATATATATAGGTTATCACTGTGCCAAGTTACTGTAGAAAATAAGGCTTGGAAACAAAAGAGGATAGTGTTAAACCTCTTGACCATGCTTCACCCTTATCATGCTGTCTGTGAGGGCCATGAGTAAGGTGGAGTTGTCCAGTACTTCTGTGATCAAGCCTTCAGCTTGAGTTGGGAAGGACAAGGTATAATTGGCTTAGGCCACACTTGCATCCTCTGGATTTGCTTCAAGACCATGCAGTAGAATGGAGAAAAATATGGTATGGGCCCTGGTTGCACCCAAATTTCTGGAAATGGGAAAAAATTATCTGAGTCAAAGGATGAAAAAGAGAGATGTCACCTATTGTCACAATTTGATTTCAGTTCTCAAGAAAAGCCATTGCATGATATTCTTATTTATTTCCATTTGATTCTCTTTTGTTAGAACTCTTCAATATCATGTAAAATGTCAGTTGAGACAAATAGTTGAAATGTGCACTGTAGGATTGTAATAGGAATTTTGGAGAGTTAATGACGAGTTATTATAATTCTTTGAATAGGTAATAGTTTAAAAATGTGCAAGATTTTAAGGAGAAGACACGGCAATTCTGTGTATACTTATGTGCAAGGAACTTTTGATTCTCTTATAACAGTAAATACGGTAATGACCAACATGTACAGCTCAGGGAGACATTTTTCCAGGTTAAGGTTCATAGTATTATGTAAGTAAACTTGGAAACAAAAGAGGATAGCCCATATGTCCTGAATTAATGTCATGCTTTAATATTTTCAAACCCACCTAGAGAAAAATAGATAAAGGAACTCCCTTTTTGCCATGGGACTTTGTTTTGTTGTTGTTTTTTAAAATACATTTTTATTGATTTTAGAGAGAGAGAGAGAAGAAGTGAGAGGGAGGGAGGGAGAGAGAGAGAGAGAGAGAGAGAGAGAGAGAGAGAGAGAGGAGACAGAGAAAACATTGATAAGAGAGAAACATTGGTTAGCTGTTTCCTTTCACCCCCTCATTGAGGATTGGGCCCACAACCCAGGTATGTACCTGATCAGAATTGAATCAGTGACCTCTCGGTGCATGGGAACAACTGAGCCACACTGGCCAGGCCACCCTGGACTTTGTTTTTATTTCAGTCAGAAGGATGCTTCTGCAGGAGAATTTGATTTTCCCATCACCTTTTCAATTTATTTTCCTTTTTTAAGGGAAAAAGTGTGACCATTTTCATCAGAAATGTGGTGTTATATGAGTTTGGCCAAAGAAACTGCTGGACATTTTATGTATTGACTTCAAGTGCATCTTAGACTGTCCTTTGTCTTGCAACATGTCACGCTTGACTTCATCCGGAAGGGAAACCTTTTGCTTTAGGTTGAATTGCGTCAGCTTGAGAAATACCACAGGGGTATCAGTTTTAGGTCTTTAAGGCATATTTTAAAAACAGGCATGTGCAGTTGACCCTTGAATAACACAGGAGTGAGTTAGGGGCACTCTGCATCTACAGATTCCCAACCAGGAACTGAAAACACTACAGGAATTTATTGAATTAAAACCCATGCTGTTCAAGGGTCAGCTGTGCATACAGTTATAAACTGCTAGGTAATTTCTAGTGTTTTAAGATAAGCTTATAAATTAAGCTTGTTTAAAATAATTAGTGCTCAGTGATTTCTTTACCTTTTACACAATGCAAAATCTCTGCTGTGCTTTCATTTTTTTTTTAAAAAATGCATTATGTTTACATTTGAGCAAAACTTTCTCAGATGTATTTATTTATTTAGCCTTTTTATTATGGATATATTTAATTGTGTAGAAAGCATATTATTGTGATATGCATATACCCTCCCTTGAGGCTCAGGGATTTTTCAACATTGTTTTGTTTGTTTCAGCTTGCTGAACACTTTTCAAGTTAAATGCAGTCATTGTGACATTGTGCCAATACAGTATTTTTTGAATCTTCTAAAAATAAGACATTTGTTCTGAATAGGCACCATGCCCTTAGCAACTCTCACACAATTAACAGTAATTAGCTAATAACTATTTTTACATCTGTACCCAATTTTCCTAATTTAGCCACCAGTGTCTTTTATAGGTGTTTTTTTTCCAAACCAGGATCCAGTAGGAAACATGCATTGCATTTGATTGTTGTGCTTCTTAAATTTCTTCTAATCTGAATTGTCCTCCAAGTTTTTAAAATTATGCTGACATTTTAAACAGGCTTGGCCAGTGATGGCGAACCTATAACATGCGTGTCAGAGGTGACATGTGAACTCATTTTTTTGGTTGATTTTTTTTTTGTTAAATGGCATTTAAATATATAAAATAAATATCAAAAATATAAGTCTTTGTTTTACTATGGTTGCAAATATCAAAAAAATTCTATATGTGACACGGCACCAGAGTTAAGTTAGGGTTTTTCAAAATGCTGACATGCCGAGCTCAAAAGGTTCGCCATCACTGGGCTAGGCTAATAGTCTTGTAGAACAGCCCACATTCTGGGTCTGTCAGATTGTTTCATCATGGTTTTGTTAACTTGTTCCTTATACCCTCTATTTCCTACAAAGTAAACTCAGCTCTAAAGACTCGAAATTCCAGTTAAATGGCTACTTCGGTTGCACCCCAGCTTGCTTGTCTCTGTTGTAATGAGACGAAATTTGAATCCTGTGTAGGTGTTGACAGCCCGATCTCTCCCTTATAAAGTCATCTCCTTTTTCTCCCACATCACACCCTTGTTTTCAGGTCTCACTGACACTCCAATCTAGAGCATGGCTACACCTTCTGATGACTTTTTCCTATTGTCAAATCTGCATGTTTCTCTGGCAAGCCAGCCATTAGCCAGGTACCAGTTAATTTCTGGATTATACACCCCACTAAGGCAGAGGCCACAGCTGTCTTCTTCCTCTTCCTCCTCCTCTTCTCTCTCTTTTCTTTCCTTTCCTTTCCCGGTTAATATTTCTTGAGGGTTGCCTGGTTCACTCTTATAGGCCCAGGCATTGCCAGAGTTGAGGCACTGAGTGAATCGTTGCGGTGCTAATAAATGCTTTTTCACATTCCCCTCCTCTTTTTTTGTTTGCAGCCTGATTAAAAGATGACAATCAATAAACAAGCCTTTTGACTTCTTTGTTACATTCCTGTAAAAATGTGCAATTAAGGTATAGGTTTCTAAAGTAAATTTATAGGCTTTAATATAATTAGGAGTCATAACATCTTCATATTATAAATGTGTTCATGCACTTTAATATCATGTCAGCGCCTGAGGTTTCATGACCAAATTAGTCACTTTCATTCTGTGTTGGCTGTGCTGAAGACATAGATCCCGATCTTGATTCTCTGGCTGATCATCCCATTGAAATTATGATATTTTTTTAGCTTCAGTGTATGATGTTTGGCTGCCTGAAAGATAAACTGAAGAAAATAAAAAGTGGTGTTATCAGAAACTCTATAAATGTTGTGTGGTTTGCAATAAGATTTAACTACAGAGTGTTTGCTTTAGTAACATATTACAAGAGGAATGATTTGATTTATTTACTTCTTCAAAATAGTGACTATTATTTATTTTTTACATCGACTCACAACATTTTAGAATTAACACTTAGATACTTAGTAATACCTTACTTTTATGAAAATCTATGGGTATTGAATGAGTGTGGTATTTTTTTTAAAGAAAAATAACAAACGTAAAACTAACATACTTGTGTTAGTTTCTTTAGCACTACACCACGAGAGTGAGCCAGGGACCTTTTGTGACAACTTAGAATTTTACAGAAATTCTTCCAAGAGAAAGAGAGCTTGCACATTTGATGGATCTTGAATTGTATAATTGTCAACATTCTTTCAGGCCCTGATAATTCTATTACTAGGTACACTTTATGGTAAAGTTTCTCGATAAAAGACCCCAAGGATTTCCAGTTTGAGACACACTACTTTAAAAGATAATACACTGGGTAGGTGACAAGATACTCAACATCTTTACTCATTAGGGAAATGAAAGTTAAAACCACAATGAGATACCACTGCACACTCATTAACATGGCTATTGTAAAAAAAATTGAAAACAGAAAATAAGGGATGGGGAGGATGAAGAGCAGCTGCCCCTCATGCCTTGCTGGTAAGAATGTAAAATGATGCAGTGCTGTGGTGACTTCCAAAAGGTAAACAGAATTTCCATGTGATCCGGCATTTCCACTTCTAGGTATATTCTCAAAGAAATCGGAAGCAGGAATTCAAAGAGATATTTCACAGCTATATTCATAGCAGCACTAGTCACAACAGCTAAAAGGTGGAAGCAACCCAAGTGTCCAAGAGTGAATGGGTAAACGAAATAAGGCATATGCATAGGATGGGATATTATTCTGCCTTAAGAAGGAAGCAAATTCTGATACATGCAACACATGGGGAGGGGTGAGGAGTTACTGTTTCATGGGTGCAGAATTTCAGTTTGGG